AATGGCGGATCTTTTTGGAACATAATTGAATAAATCAAGTTGATTTTTGTTTTAAATACGAGGGGGATCATTCAGTTTTTAATATATTGGACCAACCGACTGATCGAATCCAAACCTTTTTTTCGGCTTCTACTTAAGTACCTACATATTTTCTATAAATTATTTAGTTTTTCAGGTTTAAGGTTGGATAGACAATTTGTGTGAAAATTTAAAAAAAATGAGAAAACGTTAATTTTTGTACGTTTTCTGTTCAGAGAAAATACACTTTAAATACAGAAATTATCATTAAATTATTCTGAATCAGTTTGGCAGTTTTTTAGTCGGCAGTCGTCAGAAATTTTTTTTTTGAAAATCCATTTGGTCTAAAGGGATACATGCATGTATCACATATACAATATTCTGACTTTGTGCATCGGAAGCTTACAAATTTAGTTTAGTCGTTGATTGAAAGAGCATAAGCTCCTCTGAAGAGCGCCAGTCACGCGTGCATGCGAAACGTTGCACGGGACAACACATAAATAGCAACATCTTAAATTCTATATGAATATGAATTATTAGGACAAAAATAAAAACGTAGTACTAGGAAGTAACTTGCCATGGACAGAGGTTCTCCATATAAACTTGACACAATCGGTACAATTGGTTACTGTATTAGTTAAAATATCATATAGTTGAACATTTATATTGTTTCAGACTGATTATAAAGGTAAAACGATTTATTGATGACTTAACCGACATATTAACTTACAAATCAGGGTACAACTTCGCATCAAAACCTTAATAATCTTTTCATGTAAATGTAAACCGTAATGGATTTTAAGTTGGCAAGTGCTACAACTTTCAAGAAAATTTATTCAGTTTTGTCAATTTAACATAAAAAACGTATTAATATTTAGGGCGTAAATTTAAGTTAAAATGCTTCACTTGATAAAGAAAAACGCTCGCTATTTAATTTGCAAATACAGATCCATTTTTAAATATATTTTGTAAAGAATCTACTTGATTATTGTTTATGTTCGTCACAATTTCAACTTAATCGATAGTCGATAGCTTAACTAAGCTGGAACTTATTAAGATTCAATGAGACGATTTAATGTAATCTCAGTTGCAAATGGTTCTCCAAAATTATCTGAATGATGATTTAAATATAAAAATACATTAAGGCAATTTACATATCGACGAGAAAACAAGCAGCTAACAAATATGGTAACCGAATTTAATTAAGCAAGAATCGAATACATATATGATTGTACAATAGAAGTAGCAGTAGATTTAACGGAACTTAAATAATAACAAACTGTGGATTTCTTCAAAAACAAGATGTAAAATATAAACGTGTCATTTTGGTGTTTCTTTCACAAACTATAACTGTAGAGAGTAGAAACCGGCATCATCATATTGAAATTAATTATGTTGACATGTAGCAAATTATAAAATCGAAGGTTAATTAGAAGTAGTAACTTTTATTTAAAGGCGCACAAAACTAACACAATGTTGCAAAAAAATACCCATTACATATCGATCAAATGACTTGAATGGGAAAATGTAACTAACACCAACACAACGCACATGACTCAAGAAATATCTCAGCTAGTTACAATACGCATTAGCAGCTAATACAGATATTTGATGTAAATTTCTGGTATACCGGAAAAAAGTCGAATAATAAAGATACATCTGCTTTAGCGTGCCACCCAATATGTCTTAAACCTGCTCAATATTCAATTTCCGAAATCAAATTGTCTTGTAACTATAAAGGGCCCCACTGAACGAGCATTTGCATATAAAAGACCTTTGATAACTACTTTACGTTGCCTATTCCCCGTGTACTCCTTGGGCTTTCTTTCGGCGAATGTTCCTAATCTAAACGTTCAAGGAGCAAGAGGGGTTCTAGGATTTACGGCAAGCGTATACGCAATAGCTAATGTTGTCACAAAATTGCAACCTGCTGCATTGTTCGGAAACAGCAACAAAGCATTATATAAAACGCATTAAAATAACGCAATTACAGCGTACAAAAATAGATCATTTGCACAGTAAATTATTAAAACTGACTCATTCGTATTGAATAGCAAATTTTTTTAGTGGCGCCAGTCAGATTGTTTACAGTTTCATTGAATATTCCTTTTAAATGTCATGTTTCAGCTTGCTTAAGTTAACCAATACCACTCAAGGACCATATCAAAAGCCATGTTGATAAATGATTCAAAACATGATTTTTTTAATTCAAACAGTTGAAAGGAAATCGGGATTTAATCATCAGTGAACGTTGCACTGGTATCATACAATATCGAAGGATATTTTCCGATATTGGTTCATTCCGAATGGCAGTAAGAATCGCTTGCTTCGACTTTCTCACGAGTACCATTAACAACCGGCAAACTCCTTCGGATAATCTGGCCGGTTTATTCTCTGATCTTTTTGTTTACTGCCATTAAACCGAATAAATCGTTCAACCTTGAATTGGCAACAAGGAGCTTTGCACGCCGATATTAAAATGGAAGGCAGTGGAGCATCCTGCCCAAAACCGAATCGCACGTTACCATTGTTGTTCACCTTGAAATACACTCCAACTGGTCCAAAAAGTTTGGCGTTTTTTTCTCTTCTTATTCTTGACCAAGCTTATGCAGGCATTAGGTAAGAGAAAACTGGTTTTGGGCTCCTCGATGGAACTTAACAGGGTTACTTAATAGTATTCATGGTTCGGTTTCGATGGGAATCATGCAAGCAGCGATTGATACCATCACATAATATGCCCTGAAGAGGATGACAAGAAAAATGTTTCATGTTTTTCGGCTATTTTGGTTCGGCTGATCAAATTTAGTCAATTAGGTAGTAGTCATGGAGAATGATGAGAGTTTAACTCTATTTGATCTGGCAAAAGGATCTTTTGCGCTTGTACATTTAAAGAAAATATCACCAACAAAAATGAATGTTGGAAGAACCAAACGATCTGCTAGTAATCCAACAATTGTAGAAAAGTTCCTTGAAAATTTGGAAACCTGCGAAAATTGTATATTCTTGTCCACAAAAATACCAAAAGTTCTCACTCTGTACCAACACCAAGGCCAGTGATCTTTTAAGAAAACACTTTTGAAATAGAGAAGTTTCTCCAATAGTTAAACACTACTGAGGAGCCAAGAGGAAAATTGTTCGCCATTCCATTGTACTAGTTCAAAGATGAAACTGCCCTGGTGGAAATACAAAATCGGTTTGTAGTAAAAATTGGCCATTTTCACTATAGCTATATTTTATAGTCAGTTATCTTTTACTAATAAAACGTTTTCTCCATCCTCTCTATTAATAGGAAGGGGTAAATAAAACTACGTATTTCAGGTCAAGATTAAGATGGTATTATAGGAGCTTAAATACGTATCTACAAAACCATTAAAAATACCGAAAAAAATATAGTACTGCCCATTCTCTAAGAGATTGGATCTCTGGTTTTTTATCTTCTGGTATCACATTTTGAACATTGCATTCATCCTCATATTCCCTATTATTGTCGCCATTATTATTATTATCACTTTCGTCAAAAGCGGCTTGACTCGTATTTCTTATCGTTAACATCTATGGTACACCGTCACAGATTTTTGTACCGAAAATTACTCTCCAAACGCTGAAAATTTACTTCAAAAAAGTAAGTAGGTTCTGGTTGTTCGCATTTCGATCTCTTTAATTATTTAAAATTTCTAAACTATATATGCTTGACAACTTCTAGCAGAATAATTTTTAGGACTAAACGGCCATTTTCAATCATTCTAGATATTTGATGTTTGATTTCTTTTAAGTGCGGAAATTTCTCAAAGCTTAATCCGTCGCCCAATTCATAAATTTGCTAGCCAAAAGATAAGTTGCCAGTGTCGCATGGAAAATCTGTAGATGGAAACTTTCCAGTTGACTCGAGTGCCCCAGAAGTATTAATGTAAGTGTCGGAAAATCGAGCACAATAAAGGAAGCGAGAAATCTGGTAAGCGACAAATGTCCTGGCTGGAAAATATCAGGCAATATCCGGCAATTTTCTTCGACTAGCCTCTTTATATCGGTTAAAAATAGCGTAAAACTAATACAGAGAACCACGAAACTAAATGAAATATTACAAATTTCAAAAAATTACCATACAAACGCTGTAAATCTACGATTGTCAACCATTTCTCTCAATACCTTCAACATTAAGACATTCTGATTATCCAGACTAGGGATGTGGTCGAAAACTATCAGCAGCAGATAATGACTAGACCGCCTAAATAGTTATGTAATGCGATTCGATCCGCGTTAAAAATAAACAATCATCTCAGTTGGTGTAAAAATAGACAACAAAATGTAAACAAAACGGTACTTTCAATTAGACTGATCTGGTACCATTAGGTGCGGCAATCGACTGAAGTTTCGAAGGTTGCATTTTACTACGTAGTAACCTTGACAGTGAACGGAAAAAGTAACCATGGATAGGAAAAAGCCATGTGCATTGGATGAACTTGTGCATAGGAATTGAGGTTGCACATTAACACCATAATTAAATCGAAAATAAAACATTTAAATTAGGTATAGTTAATACATGTTATTAGAGGAAAAAGTCAATATCAATCAGCACATTGGAAGAAAAAACACGCAACAAAAAAATTATTGAAGACTTCCAGTTGAATTTGTTGGGAGTAATAAGCGTGTATTTTTTGGAACCGCAGCAATCAGAGATAGTCAATTGTGAAATTTCAATAGTGAACTTTGAAGTTCAATACATACGGCAGTAAAGGGCATACAGGGTGTCCCGTAAGCACATGATCAAAACGGTGCTTCGATATGGTTTGGATTACAAGACGATCTGAGCTAATTTTTGTTAACAAAAAATACGAGGCGCCTCTGCTATTGATGGTCAGTTCTTCAAAAAAATTATCTTTTTTGAAATATTGGGAGAATGGTACGATGTATTTTGGTGAAACTCGCTGTGAATTTGTTCTTAAGTAAGACTCATATTTTAATAAAATAATCGAGGTCATCTGGCAAGTGGTGAATTCTTGAGTGTCGTGGTACAAAAACTACCATAACTTTTTATTGGGTGGATGAAATCAACTCATTTTTTTTTGGTTGATGCACTAATTATGTATTCACAATTTTGTGCTCTTTGTAAAATCTTGTAGCGTTCACAGTTTTAGCGCAAAAAAAAATTGTCTGTTTTCAAGCCACTTAACAATACTATACATTAACTGCAAATATGCGCCGCGTAAACGCGTACGCTTTCACGCAAGTTGTCTTCGCAAAACCTTAATACTTTGACCGTGTCGGTCACTTCTTCATTAGAAAAGGTCATTCGAAACGAATTTGTGAGATTGCGTGACAATTAATTTATGCGTCGTATCACAATATTTGCAGTTAATGTGTCTAACATTGTTAAGTGGCAAGAAAACAGAAATATTTGTTTTCGCAAAAACTCAAAAACTATGAATGCTACAAGATTTTAAAAAGAGCACACAACTGTGAATAAATGATTAGTGCATCAACCAAAAAAAAATGAGTTGATTTCATCCACCAAATAAAAAGTCTACCACAGTTTTTGTACCACGACACTCAAGAATTCACCACTTGCCAGATGAACTCGATTATTTCATCAAAATATGAGTCTTACATAAGAACAAATTCACAGCGAACTTACACACAGCGAACACTAAAATACATCGTACGATATTTCAAGATATTTTTTTTTAAGAACTTTGACCATCAATAGCAGAAGAGCCAGACATTTCTTGTTAAGAAAAGGCAGGTCAGATTGTCTTCTTTTGATGAAAGAATATCGCAGTATGCTTCTGATCAGGTGCTTATGGGGCACCCTGTACATGTACTTAATTTAAGCCTATTGTGGGTACATAGGAAAATAAATCAAAATGTGGGTACAGGGTTACTTAAGGTTTCATCTAGCTTATCTATAGAATAAAAGATCTATCTTTGGAATGTTTGGGATCAGTGGTCTTGTAGTTGCAATATCTACAACTTAGTTAAACTATCGTCTAAAAAGCAATTATTTGGTTTAGATAAAACGATGTTGACAAGCGAAACAAGACGTTCACACGTGGGCGATTCGTAGACCGATCACGCAAACAATAATAAAATAATGTGCATGTTTGCAGATAAGCGAAAGTGGGAGTGTAATAGGCGAGCGAAATCTAAGACGGGCAAACTTTTTATTTGAAAGCAAATAGGCAAAGTTAACAACGGGTTTGGGCTTAGCCGGGCGTCACCCAACTGGCATATACTTGCCAAAACCGAAAAAATGCAAGCCATATCTCCTCAAATTTAACAGGGTTCAAATCGATATAATGATACCAATCATAAAATATTTTGAGGATATTAAATAAAAACATCATAAAGATAAAACGCTCAGGTTTACTTTGATGCTTGTAAGTAGTCATATGAATTTCCTACAAAGTTTCCAGTGTCAATCCTCTGGTGGTGTTGCCGGGAGGTATGCAATAAGCAGAGCGAAATAGTTTAAAAAATCAATCATCAAAGTGCGATATTTAGGTAAAATCAGTCATAACGGGTGCAACCCCATATTTGATCTCCCGTGGCAAAAATGTTTTTCTCATTAACATTACATAAATATCTGGTGCCTTAAAATGTTTTAAAATTGAATGGAAAAACACCCAAGATTTCAATGAATATTATCACTTCAGAAATCAGCTGATGACCTTCACGTTGGCAAAAGAAGCAGTTTGCTTGCAATATGTAGAAAATTTGACTGATTCATTAACTTCCCTAGAACGGTAAACTTTATGCATGTTCGACATTGTTAACAATTCTAGGCTTTGAATCAAATTGAACAGCATAATCAAAACCAATCGCACATTTTCTGACTGGTTTACCAACAAATATCTGTCTGAAAACATAAAACCGTAATGATTCTAAATAGACAATTTGCACAAATTTAAGCAATATTCGAAAAATAAACTCAACATTTCTCCCGTATCTACTCTCCACCTAATCATTTCAAAGGAGTGACGCCAATTTTATGACATATAATTAAAATCACCCTAGTGCAAAAAATATTACAACAATAAAGTAATTAATTACAGTAACCGCTCAAATGGATGACAAATCATTAAAGCGCTTAGTAAATTATACTGTTTGAATGAACAACTAACTATAGGTGTGTGTGTGTGTGTGTGTGTGTGTGTAACAAACAAGTTAATTTAATTTTTTCAAGTTCCATGCGTCAAATGGAAATAAGTATCGAGACAAAAACAAGGTACGTACATGTGTTATGCGTTTTGCTATTTTCGTTTTTCCGCATATTTAAACGAAAAAAGGTAATTATTTCGCATTAATAAATATAACATACATACAGTCTATTTATGGTCTACTAGACAAGACTATTAAGGCCGGAACGGTGAAATCTACAAGACATTTTGACGACGCAACAAGAAGTTAGCAGCGCCAGAAATATTACGTAAAAAACAATTCCTAACCTAAGGCAATGTAAGAAAAATTCCATGGAAAATGCCCATATCCGCTTATCGTCTTGTTCTAATAGATCCAAGTGCAGGGGCGCTGTAATATTTATCTAAAGGGCTATTAGGAATCTAAATGTGAATGAGATCCCTCGCCATCTCTTTTATGGCTGCAATGTCTGCACTGCGACATTCTTTTAACCATACAATCAATTTGTAGCCGTGTCTAATGGAAAATATAAATCTGGGCTATCTCCTATTATGGTCTGGAATGGGCTAGATGTTTTATAGTCGGAATATGGCATGATCAGAACGGTTTTTCCAACAAATATTTCAGTGCGCCAAGGCTGCATGTGTATTGTCTGCATTTTATATGTATGCTGACTGTCGAGAATATCTTCATTAGGATATGTTCATAATAAATCAACTGGCTGCTTTTAAATAGACAATCGAGTATGTTATCCAAATTTAGAGTCCGAAATTAGCACGTATTTTATTTTCAAGCTGACTACTAAGACAGCTTTCTATAAATGGGTACTTGTATATTTTTTATGGCAATGTGATATTCGATTTTATAGTTGTGAATTTTGCTAAATATTACGCGCAGATTTAACAGTTAGAGAAAAACTACCTCGTCAATGTATGCCACCATATAAATTTTATATTTACGATCAACCGAAAGATGTCATAAATTGTTTGAGGAAAGTTGGTACTTGCGTATGTAGTTGAAAATTGAATTAAAACCGATGAAAAAAGATTAACATGTCCCACATCCTCAATAGATTACTGCTGTTAAATAACCACATAGTTACGTTGAATAATTAGGTTAGATTATATTACATCACGCTAATCACACATTTTAACAAATATAACAACAAATTTTTGAAATGCATTTCCGCTGTATCTCATATAATTGTGACCCTTAAACAAGTATTAAAACCCTCAAGACATGCATTGGATTTAAAAATTTGATTGATTTAAAAAAAAGTAAAGTCTCACAGTTTATACTTGTTGTCCGCACTTATCACAATCTACGCGGACATCGATTGTCTTGTCATTGAAAAGTGCCATTAAAAAAATGTGTAAAAGATAACGTTAATATTGAAAAGTAAAAAAGGACGATTATAAGTTTGAAGTATTTTCTGTTTGAATTGCATTGTTGAACCATGCAGGTGTAGGGGAAGTAAAATAATTCCAAACCGTTAAAAAATGCAAGATTATTAATACTTAATTAATAGTTAAAATACATATTTAGAGAAGTAAATAAGTAATCACTTATTGATGATGTAAAATTGCATACTAAAAACTTTTCAAATTTGTATAATTTATGAATTTCCGATGGGGAAGATAAAATCATTCATCTTTATCCGAATACTCTTTCAGGGTGGTTCAGTGTGGTTTTTATCGGTATTTCAAAAACTTTTAAAGAGAGGGAAACCTCGGAAATGGACGCTTCTCTTACTAAAATTACAGTTTTCATTTAATCATTGTAAAGTAACTTTCCATAAGGAAACTAAAGTGGTGCCCCACAAACTTTCTGGAATTTTTCCTACTTCTAAATTTACTATTTACAGAAAGCAAAAAAGTACTATCGTGATTTCTACAAAAAAAAGCTTTCCGAAGACTCAATTTATCGTTTGAACACAATGTTAATACGTTATATGGAACAAAATGCTACTAACTGTATTTAAAAAAAACCGGCAATAATCAGAAGTAAAACTGTTTTGAGTTAAAATGAGCTTCATACTCGCCCTCTATTACAGTATTATTTATTATTAAATTAGTCGTACCTTTGAACATTTATTTTTGTACCGTCTCACTATGTATAACTTCCGTGAGTGAGTAAATCGGCTTTGAAGATGATGATGATCTTGAGCGTTGTGATTGTTATTGAGAAAGAGAGAGGGTTACAGTTCAACCAGAGTTTTTAACACATTTAACATTATTAAAAAAACTTACTTTACTAAAAGGAATCAAAGGGCATGACTGTAAATGGTTAATAAGATCAGTCTTTAAAACTTCTAAAAGCAAGCGATAATCGCGCGTTGAAACTGTTGCTGAAATGTTGAAAAATCAGACACCAATTCAACAACTTGAGAACTTTGAACCAAAACAAAACGAAAAGTTTTGTATCAATTTTTGTTAAGCTCAAACCCAAAACACACGATAATGAAAAATAGGTTTACTTTCTAAGCGGAAGCCGTAAAGACTTTATTGATGTTAA